AAGCTCGTGCAGTTCGACACGGACGCACAGTGGCTCGGGAAGCGCCTCGTGAAGGTCTCAAACATGCAGTCCGCCCAGAGGACAATCAAGAAGCGCGGCCAAGATGCCATCCCGCTGCCCAATAAGGACGAGCCCATGCCAGATCTCCCTGGGCCCAGAGATGCTTCGGATGAGGAGGATTTGAACTCGCCTGAGCAGCAGCGTGAGTCTGAGGGCTCGGATTAGGTAGCATCGGCAGTGTGTACACGGCTATGGCAGCGCTCGCTAGCGATTTTTTCGCACATTTTTTGAGTTGAGCGCTGCTTGCGATGCCGCCGAGGCCGCAAGCAGCGCTCAACTCAACGCACATGTCACATGAGTCGATTAAAAATATCAACGCACACATGCCATCATATCATACTTTTCGTGGTCACGCGGGGCATATCATATTCTAAACAACCTCATCATCAAAGTGGCAATGCACCCCATCAGCATATGTAAAACAATGTTAGCCAGCGCGGACCCCAACAACTGTGTTGTAGCATACTCTGTGTTGCAATATATGCGGTGCATCGGTACATCCAAGCTTAGTTCCTTTTAGACGAAGCAAGAGCCTTCAGTGCAAGCACTGTTTGGGGAACAACGGCCCCATGCCACAACAGCTGTGGCGAGACACAAGTCACTGCTCATCGGTTCTGCGACCGCGGTGATCGGTTATCGCCGCCTGGCCCGAGTCAGTCGCACATGAACTCGCAGACTGCAGCCAGTCTCGCAACTTGTCTGGCCAGCCACTGCATTATTCATGATGGCGGCCGTTTGGTGTTCCCTTCCCAGAAAGCAGTGATTCAGTGCGCTTGGGCCCTGCTTTCGGCCATCGGCGATGGCAGCTTCTCCACGAAGGCATTGTTCGAACGACGGGCTAGACAGATCGCCCTGAACGGCCTCGGCGTGAGGAGCCTTCACACGCTGCTTGCAGGCGTCGGGGCCCCCGTGTGCTCGGCGTTGGCGCTCGATGCGGTCGCGGCGAAGGCGCCGCGAGGGTGCTCGAACGCTCTGGAGTCGAATATCTAAGACCTTAGATCGGCGTTAGACGATTGAGGTGGATGTGGGCGAAAGCATGGAAGGGGCGATGAGGATGAGGAGGAGGAGGAGGAGGAACGATGAGGAGGAGGATGCGGACGAGGAGGAGGCGGATGCGGAGGAGGTGGTGGAGGAGGAGGAACGATGAGGAGGAACGATGAGGAGGAGGACAATAATGAGGATGAAAGGGCTGGTTGAGGCGGTTGCCTTGCCCCGAGGTTGTTCGCTCGATGGGCGAGCGCGGAGCGCCCAGCTTGCGGGCGAGGCCGCAGGCGAAGCAGGCTGCGCGGCCCGTTCTCGCCACCAGGGCGCAGCTTCTTCGACAGCTGCGGAAGCTGAGCGCTCAGAACGGCAACCTTCTAGACCGACTCGGGCAAGCCGACCAGTACGCGCGTGATCTTCACTCGCGATGCGCCATCCTGGTAGCAGGCGCGTTCGGAGAACTTAAATTCGCCGCGGGGCGTTTCGCTTGAGACTTCGGAGGCCCCCTCGCATTTCCATCCGAAGTTCTGTAGGCTTGCAGCGCGTGGAGGGTGGCGGATTTCAGCAACAGCTACACAGATGGAGGGCATTGCGCTTTCAGAACGCGGTGGAGGGGAGGGAGAGGATAATGGGGGAGGGGGGGGACAAGGGAGAAGGGGGATTCGGGGGACACCGCCAACACGAACCCCCCAAAGGGGATAACCACCGTCCTCCTCCTTCTCCTCCTCCTCCTCATCCTCCTCCTCCTCCTCCCGACCCTAACGGCCCCACTCGCTGTGGCATAACAATTGCCCCCAGGCAACGTCAGGCGGCAATCGGCCAAGCTCACTGGCAGGGTATCTATGCACGGCGGGTACGCAATGGCTCTCTGCCGAAATCTCACGCACGTGGGGAGTATGGGCCTGGTCAAAACCATGCAGTTGCCAGTTCGGAAGAACACGGTTGAACGGTGGGAGCGGATATTCGCCATCAACATTTTGATGCAGTCTAGGCGTTGCTTTGCTGATATCGCTGGCATTTGCTCGCAAGGGCTAGGCGTCGAGGAGTCGAAGCGCTGGTCAATTGTGAATGTACGGGGCGACGCCACGAACTCGAACGTGACATCCCATTCTGGGAAAGCTTTTGTTTCGTGTTTCACATGCCTGTTCAGAGACGCCTTCGGGCGCATGTTCAAGCGACAGGTTCATGGTCCTCTGCAGCAGCAGCCAGTTCACTGCTATGGGTTCACAGTGAGAAATATGTTGGAATCCTCGCTGACCTCGGTCGGGCTGCCCACCTGGACCGATTCCGGACAAGCCCAACATGTTAGATCGTATCTGTTTCTTTCTGATTCTGGGCCCGACGAGGTCGAGGCGGACAACTTGATTAAAGAGGATATTCGCCCGATCAGATATACGTGCCACGCCCGACAGTGGTGTTTGGAACACCTGACGCACTTGATTGCTGGGGCTGATTTGCACAGACATTACGATTACTGGGTGGCATTGGCAACGTTCGTGAACGTGTACAGGAGCGTGGGTAACCCTATCCGAGTGAAGATGGAATGGGAGCGGCTGCGTCCTCATGACGACGCCCTCAAGATAATCAAGCGGCGGCTACCACCACGGCCACTTCGAGGACGGTGGTCTTCAGTGAACGAGACGGAGAAATGGGTGGGAGAAGTTGGCGCGTGGCGGCATCTGCCGTCTATATTCTTGTCAGCGATGGTTGTTCCAGATGCGTTCGCCGAGATCCAGAGGAAGTTGCACCCCACGGTGGCGGCCAAGGCTGCAGCTAAAGCTAAAGCCGTCGCGAAGGGGAAGTCGAAGGCCAACGTTACTATACATCTCCTCAAGAAGCCCAAGCCCAAGAAGCCAAAGCAAATGCCGAAGGTCGCCAAGACCAAGACCACTTCAGTTGTTTTGGAATCCAGGTTCGGGGACAGCGCCGACGTGCTGGAGGAGCTCGTCGGGGAAAGCTGCAAGTTATACTCTGTGAAAAAGGGCAAATGGACGACCAACGCGATGATGAGCGTCTCGTCCAAGTGGTTCTGGTGCACCATGCACGTGTCATCTACGGCCAGGGCCGGCCTTGAGGCGTTCTCGCAGATGCTGAGGAAGTACCAGGAGTACGACCCCTTCGCGGCGTCAGAGAAGCATATGCAGGAGCTGCGGGATGGGCACCTGCCATCCCCCACGAAGCCACCGTTAGTTGTGCAGCTCGTGTCGGGGAGAGCCCTCGATGTCTACGACCAGGTCTGCGGCCTCCTCAACCCGATGAGTTCGAAGGATACGTGGGAGAACCCTCTCAACGACATCATCAACGAGGGGTACTTGCAAGGCGATGATAGAGATTCTTCTTTGTCAAAATGGCTGGGCAAAGCAGTCGAAGCAGTTTTGGCTGTTGCTTGCGATTACAAGCGCCGCATTTTGGACCCTGTTTGCGGGCTGTTCCCAACCCGACTGTTCTGGTTGATAGTTTCGCCACCCAGCGAGAAGTGCCCCTGCAGAGGGCGCGTCGCTGTCGAGATCCTGAGCAATGCATTCACGGACGACTTCACCGTCAAGTTTAAGGAGCACTGGTTTACAGATGTTATGGGGTGCGCGGACACGGGGGAATGCTCTCTCATGATGTACACGTACCTCTGCGACGTCGCGGCCACATTCAAGGCGCGCCAGGGGTGTCGCCGTGACGACGACGACGACGACGACGACGACGACGACGACGACGACGACGACGACGACGACGACGACGACGACGACGACGACGACGACGACGACGACGACGACGACGACGACGACGACGACGACGACGACGACGACGACGCGTCGTCTCGAGAGGTCACTACGCGAGATTTGGAGGGATGCAACAACATCGTCAAGTGGATGGGGAAGGTTGCGCCGAACATGTCGTTCCCGTTGATGAACGCCCGCTTCGTTGCCAAGAAGCACATTACCGCCACGCTCCCTGATGATCCAAGATGGACGCGAATGGCGAATGTCGCCAGCAGCTCTTGACGATTGCGTCGACACCATCTATTGGCCATCCGTGAATTCCGCGCGAATGGCGCGCGCATGCTGCAGGGCGAGGCTCGCGGCCCGCTCGCGGATGGCGACGCGGTCGGCGGGCTTCCCCAGCTCCGCGAGGAATGCGAGAGCACCGAGTTCGCCGACGAGGACTGCGAGATCGACGGCGGCGTCGGCCCTGAAGACGCCAGCGTCGGCGCCGATCAGGCTGGCGGGGGCGACGACGCAGACGTCGGCCCTGGTGCCGATCAGCCCAGTGGGGGCCACTGGGCGCCGCAGCCGCCGCACCCAGTGTATGAGCGCATGCGTGCGACTGCGACTGGCCAGTCGGGCGCGTGCGGGCACTACGTGCCACCTCGCGTCTATGACAGAGTAGTTCAAGAGAAGGCATCGAGATTATGGCTCCGTTTCAGGAAGCGCATTGAAGCAGAGCTGGGGCAGGCCTTCGCTACCTCGTCTCGCTTCGCCTACAGCGCCAACGTCGACGGGTCGTCGCAGCTCCTCGTGCCAATCTTGAAGTTTGGGCGCTGCACGTACTGGTTCGCAGTGCTGGAGCTTGGGGAAAGCGAGTCTGGCCTCGAGCGTGTGCCACCTGAAGGCAGAGATCTCGGTTGCGCCCACATTCCCTTGCCAGTGACGTTCCACTCATCACTGCAGGTCATGTGCAATTTGGCGATGCTTGGCGCTACGTTGGACAGCGTGGCAGTGTTCACCCTGGATTGGTATTCGATCAACGCGGCCAACATCCTGGACGTCGCGCGCATCTCCCTGGCGACGCTGGCGAGGAAGCCCACGCCCAAACCTGGCGAGCCCGCGGAGCCCGCTGCGGCGGAGGGCGGCGTCGGGGACGATCCCGAGCCCGAGGGCGTCGACGGCCAGGCCGGTGGCGACGGCGAGGGCGAGGGCGACGACGACGTGGCTGGCATGGGCGAAACCGCAGGCGACGTGCTGCAGGAGCGAGGGGCGAGAAAGTGGGGTGGCTCTTTCTGCTCTTTGAGCGGACTCGTAGCCAGCACGTGAAACCGTGAAACCGAGGATGAGGATGATGAGGATGAGGATTTGGAGGAGGGTGGTGATGATGATGAGGAGGGCGAGGATGGCGAGGATGATGATGAGGAGGGCGATGATGGCGGTGGTGGTGGTGGCATGCTCTAAATGACGGGGGCCGTCCAGCATGACATGCTAAGCTAACGCGAAGCGGAGCTAGAGGCAGAGGGAAGACGAGGAAGAGTAGCATAGACGAGGTCAGCAGGAGGACCCAGATCACCTGAAGAGACCCAAGAGACCACTGACAGACTCCCAGTTACTGAAATAATATATCTGCAGATATCCACCAGTAGAAGAAACACCGCGTATTGCTTGGAAAGTCCCTGGTGCTTTCGTCCCACAAAAGACACAGCAAACCAACGATTTCGGCGTCAAAGTCAAAGTCCGATTGAACATCCAGACGGTGGCCGTGTCCCCAGAAATTTGCATTTTCCCATAGGAAACGCACGATTGTCGCGTAAAAGAAACGCCGAAGCAAGAGCCCGACCGTGAATCCACCCCACGTAAGATCAAGCAGCTTAGATCAAGCAGCTTAGACGCGAGGGCCAACGACAGGGCCCCTCCCCCAAAACTGAACCCAAACTTACAAACTTAAAAGACGCGTTTGGGTCGGGATCAGCACTCGCCCGAGTGCTGATCCCTACCTAGAGCCTCCTCCTCCTCCTCCTCCTCCTCCTCCCCCGCCTCGCCCGCTAAAGCAAACGCGCCCAAAGAACAGCCGACCCTCCCAGGAGTGGGCGGCCGCGGACGAGGCGGCATCGGCAGATCATGAGCTGGCCCTGCATTTGGCGCTGCTGGGCGAGGCTGGGAAGGCTGCCGCAGCAGCGGCAGATGCGGAGGACATGCGGGCAGTGCGTTCGCTGGTGAAGGCGAAGGCGCCGAAGCAGGGCGGGGGCAGCGACGACGGCGACGCCGACGTCCACTGCCCGTCTGAGGATCGCGCGAAGGAGATGGTTGAGATGGAGACCGCAGTGATTGGCGCATGTGGCAGCGGCGACGCGTCTGAGGAGAGACCCCTCCACCTCCTTCCCCCCCCTCCCCCCGCTCCTCCTCTGCCCCACTGACCCGAGGAAATCATGGAGATCGTCAAGGCCGCCAGCGAGCTCGGGCCCGACGCGATGCTCGGGCCGGCCGTGGAGGCCGGGGGCCCACCGCCGCCGCCGCCAGAGGCGCCTCCCGATATCGACATTGCTAGGGATATACTCAATGTAGCACTTGCGTTCTGTGCCCACGTATCGCATATAACTTCTGAGCCTGCGTTTGCGCTCGGGCCCGAGAAACATCGCATTAGCATTGTGGAGCTGGTGGAGAAGTGTGCTGGAATCGAGGTCGCGTCTGCGAGGCTCGTGCACGTCGACGATATTGGCCCCCCGCTGCGCGGCCGCATCTTGCGCCCAAATAGTGAGCACAGGATCGAGTATGTACAGCCACCAAAAAAGGGGGACAGCAACGTGCTGAATGTAGTTAGGGTGCTCTGTTCGCTTAATCTTAAAATGGTCAGGGCAACAGGCACTAAGTGCACGAAGGTGCCGCCTGGAGTGCGCGAGCTTCTTCGTTTTTTCCAGAACAGCAGTAGGGCTGACTATGATGGCCCTGCGGGGTCAATCGGTGCAGGGGGCCTCGCTCGACCTTGCTTGGCTTGCGCGGACTCGGGCGATGGAGTTGGAGTTGCGACTTGCCCTCTATGCATGTCTACTATGCACGCGGAATGCGCTGCTCGCGTAGCTGCGAAGTATTCTCACGATGGCGATATCGCAGTCGAGCGGAAGTGCGTGTCTCGGGAGGTCGCCATGTTGGTGTCGACAGAATTGCTGTGTGCATGCTGTGCCCGAGTGATTGATTTGTCCGCGTGATACGCGCGACGCCGCGCTGAGCTGTCTGAACATTGAGACCCGTGGACCTGAGGAAGCTTGCGAGCATAACGAGCTCAAATGTGTCTTGAGTTTTTTTGGGGGGACTTATGCATGTTGGGTCGCGCCCAGACAACGACAACTTTTGGGCGCGGGTCTGGGGCCTCAAACTTACGCTCGTTGGGTTGCGCCCCAACGAGCTTAACTGTTTATGCAAGTTTCGGGGCATTTGACTTATGCACGTTGGGGCGCGCCCCAACAACAATAACTTTTGGGCGGGGGGCAGGGCCTCAAACTTACGCTCGTTGGGTTGCGACCCAACGAGCATAACTGTTTCTGCCAGTTTCGGGGCATTTAACTTATGCACGTTGGGGCGCGCCCCAACAACCATAACTTTTGGGCGCGGGCCAGGGCTTCAAACTTACGCGCGTTGGGTTGCGCCCCAACGAGCATAACTGTTTCTGCAAGTTTAGGAGGAGTTGACTTATGCATGTTGGGGCGCGCCCCAACAACAATAACTTTTGGGCGCGGGCCCATGACCTCGAACTTACGCGCGTTGGGTTGCGCTCCAACGATCATAACTTGTGCGACGGGTTTCGGGGCCATGTAGTTACGCATCTTGGGGCGCGCCCCAACAGCAGTAACTTTTGGGATAACTACTTCGCGCGCATATGCGCCCGATCTGGGAAAGTTATCTGTTGGGACGCGTCCCAACACATAACTTTCCCAGATCGGCGCGCGCGCGCGCGTGCGCTAAGTACAGGGAGCCTGCGCGCAGAACAAACATAAGTCGAGCCCAAGAGCGCCCCAACAGATAAGTTCACGCTCATATACGACGACGACGACGACGACGACGACGACGACGACGACGACGACGACGACGACGACGACGACGACGACGACGACGACGACGACGTTCGATTCGCTAGGTTCCCCTGTCGTCCGATTCCCCGCCTCTGCTTAGCACTCTGTTGTAACAACTTGTATATTGAGTCTAACCACCGCCCATGCGGACATTCGCCGTTCAAGTGCACTTCGTTGCAAGGGTGACGGGGGAAAGCGAGTCGAGCTTTCAATGTGCGGTTCGGGGTGCGCCATTCGTTTCCATGCGCGTTGCTGTTGTGGGCTTCAAGGCTATGCAGTGAGGACGCGTGGCGTAGGAGATTCGTCGGCTGGGGGGCCGCCGCGCAGCCCCTGGGGATGTCAGAGGGCGCCGCAGGGAGCGGGCGGGTCGTCAACCCGTACGACGAGCACCCCTCAGTGGAGGTGCCGTTCCCTGGTTTGTCGGGGCGCCTCCTCCAGGACCAGCTCTGGAGAACGTTCGCTGTCAACGAACAGGTTTGCTTTATCCCAAAGAGTGCGTCGTCGTCGCCGCCGCCGCCGCCGCCGCCGCTGCCGTCGTCGTCGTCGTCGCCGTCGCCGTCGTCATCATGTCGTCGTCGTCGTCGTCGTCGTCGTCGTCGCCGCCGCCGCCGCCGCCGCCGCTGCCGTCGTCGTCGTCGTCGTCCGCTGTCGTCGTCGTCTTTCGCTGTCGTCGTCGTCGTCGTCGTCGTCGTCGTCGTCGTCGCCGTCGTCGTTGTCGTCGTCGTCGTTCGTCCGTCCGTCCGTCCGTCGTCGTCGTCGTCGTCGTTCGCTGTCGTCGTCGTCGTCGTCGTCGTCGTCGTCGTCGTCGTCGTCGTCGTCGTCGTCGTCGCCGCCGCCGCCGCCGCCGCCACCGCCGCTGCCGTCGTCGTCGTCGCCGTCGTCGTCGTCGTCCTCGTCCTCGTCCTCGTCGTCGTCGTCGTCGTCGTCGTCATCGTCGTCGTCGTCGTTTCCGGCCATCCCTTGAGGGAGTGGTGTCGAAGCCATACTTTCAGCCAGACGGCACGCCGACGTTCGATCAGCACGTCGATAATGATCGTCACCAGCAAGACACAGTCGACGAGTACTGCGAGGAGATTAAGAATGGTGGGGTGAGGCGAGGGCTTCGCTCCGACACTTGGGCCATCGCCGCGGACGAGCACGGGAAAAAACTATTGGTCGTGTCGGGCATGCACCTGATCAGGGCTGCCTACAAGGCTTTCCGCGAGGCCCCTGATAATCCGCAGGTCGAGGCCACCATCAACGCAGGCGTGATGAATGTTACAATTTTCAACCACAAGACACCGAGGTATGTTGCACTTTATTTAGTCGACCAGGGGAACTCCATGAACCAGGTCGCGTCTGTCACGAGCCACATCGAGCGCATGAAGGACGCGAGCAGAAAGTGGCCTCACCCGCCCCCCCCCTGGTGCCTTAGAAAAGCTTGAGGACCTCGGGGCCCAGGGGCGGTTTCCAGAAGGCCCCGACATGTCTGCTTTCTCCGGGCTTGCCCCCCCCCCCCCTCCCCCCAGGGATATTCATGTCAGACCCCTCGACACCAGCTGCAACAACAACAAGCAGCAACAACAACATGCAGCGGCCGCACAAAGCTGCAACAATGAGCAGCGGTCGCACAAAGCAAGAGGCAGCAGCACAACAGAAACATCGACCGCACGAAGCAACGCGCAAGCCACAAAAGGAACATCGGCCGCACGAAGCAATGAGCAAAACAGCTGCAAGGAGTCAAGGAGACAAGGGTCGCAGGAAGCAACAAGCAAAGCGCAACAGCGCGCAACGGCCGTACGAAGCACCAGGCAAAACCGCCAAATATGCAACTACCTACGAGGGTAACCCCCGACCCCTTTTCTCTACGACGACGGCATCCTCCGTCTGCCCCATTCCCAGTCACCCCCGAGGCTCATCAAGCGGCCAATCCTGTCTTTAAAAACTGTTGGGGTTCCGTCGGTGTGGGCTGTTTGGGGTTCCGTCTGTGCGGGCTGTTTGGGGTTCCGTCGGTGTGGGCTGTTTGGGGTTCCGTCGGTGTGGGCTGTCTGGGGTTCCGTCGGTGTGGGCTGTGTGTGTGTGTGTGTGTGTGTGTGTGTGTGTGTGTGTGTGTGTGTGTGTGTGTGTGTGGATCGAGCTGACTTTGGGGGGGGGGGTCATCGTCGTCGTCGCCGTCGCCAGCCCAGGCGACTTCGCAGCTGAAAATCCAACTGG